AAATGAGGATTAGTTCCAACTGAGATTGGTCAAATGGGCGAATTTGCTATTTACAAACAGTACAATTTCAAATAGTATTTCTGCACTTTTGTAATAGTAAATCATGGATTTACGAAATTTCAATCTACTCACAGTTTGTCTCCAGATCTTTATGGAATTGGTTCAAACTGCACAGTGAAATCTTCTTTCATCATAATCGAATTGATTGTGTAAACGATGTTTATACCATGGCATTAGACAACGATACAAGGTGGATATATATTAATAAAACAAAACAAATGATTAATTTTCGAGAAAGTCCCATCAACTTCAGTCCATATTGAGTCAAAATCCTTTTAGAAACAATGCTGATTCCCTGTTCAAGACAATGCTATGGTCTCTTTTATGGAAAAGACTTCATATCTTGAAGGGCTTTAAAGCTGTTAAGCACAACTTCAATTAAATGATGGTTTTCAAAGCAAAGATTTTGCCTTATCAATGCTCTTTTTTCTCATATGGAATGTTGGCACCTCTGGTAGTGCCATTGCATTAAAGATAGGCAAGTCACAAAAGTGTTTGAAAATTTCCCCGAATACAGAATAAGCGAAAGTCCACACGACGCGAGAAAGATACTGACGCATGACTTGGTGGATCGAGGAGGGGTAACAAAGTATCGCCAAAAAATTTTAACTGAAAGTTAAAGTTGATAACTATTTTTTCTTAATGATCAATATTTCACATATAAAAACAATCATTTGTAAAGGTTTGGTAATTTTTTTATAAATAGGTTATAATATAGAGAAAAAAAACGCTTTCAGTGTCTTTTTCCATTTATAATCTCTTAGGGCTAATGATAAGTAACATAAAGCCCGCCATTTGAAATAAACTATAAATAAATTTATAATCTCATAAGCATAAATACACTTTCACCGGGAGTTGAAATTGCATATTATTTATTCCTGCAAAATAGGAGTTAGAGGAAATGTAGTTGTTCTGTGGGACACGTCATCGCCTACGCGTGATTGTATGCGTGCTCAACCAATGGCCAATCAGTAGCCATCAGTTGTTTAAGCGAATACTCCACTTGATTATGACTAACATACCGGCGTGAACACTTTTACCACAATATATTTCCCAAATACACATGTTCAATGCGATACGTCTGTTTCCTCTATGCCTGGGCTGGGAGTCTAGCCAGATATAGGAGAATCTGCCACAGAAATTTCTGAGTCAGTCAAGGCTTTACTAGTGTAGCTATCCGCTACAATTATTATTTAAACGGACTTTAATGCGTCAAACGTAAATGCACAATCTAATTAATATCAAAGATACTAGACAGGTAAAAAAAATTAAGGTGATTTTAACCTTTGGCTTGAGCTCTTCTCCAGAATGTCAGAATGTCGTTAGCAAAAACACGTTTTTCAGCGGTGTCTACTTTCCTAATTAGTTGTTTCCAGAAACAGCTTACCCCTGATTGGGTTATAAGAAAGAGCGCATTTATCATCAAATACGCTCGAAGAGTAGCGATATTTCAAAATTCTTCTTTAAGTTTCTGGGGTATCTCACATTGTTCTTTAACCTAATATAGTATCTTATCATGTGAAGCTCGGCTTCTGGGCAGTTATCGCAGATAACACTAACGATCTATTACATTTTTAGGCTAACAAACAACAGTAAAACGAATCCGAACACAGTAATTCGAATTTAGGCCTTGAATGGAAGCATCCAGCACTTCCATTCCTTCCTTATTTCGTTGCACAACTAACACCATAGACATCATGCTGTTTAAGAGTAATAAACGATACCAAATATTAACAATGCATATTCTAGTCAAATGTCGGTGGTAATATTACTCACTTTGCCGCCATTGCTAGGTGGTGGTGAGTCACACTTGCGAGTACGTTGTCGTAGACCAGCTCCACAAGTTGAGGAGCATGAGCTCCAAGGTGCCCAAGCTCCCCATTGACCATCAACGGGACAGAAGGCGTGAAGGCATGCTCGAGTGTCCGTACTCTCCCCAACACAATACGCCCCACCATTCTTGGGTGCCGGAGAATCACACTTTCTCTCACTAAAACAAAGGATGCACGCATTATTTAATTTTACCGAAGGTCAAAAGTGTTTCTTGATAGAGGTACAAACTCATTTAATTCCGACAAAATTATTAAACTTTGAGAAAAAGAATCAGGAACTGTTTACTAAATCAAACACAAAGATAGGGGAAGTATCTTAGATCTTTCCAAGTGCCATGGAATTGTTCTTACCATAAAAACATATTCCAATACCTTACTTGTCGACCAGAGGGTACCATAGCGGTTGAGCATAAACAATGCAAGTCAGTTGTCTCGTGACGCTTAATTTGACTGGCGTACACATTAACCAATGCGCCATTAATGCACCAATACTCACGAGCAGGCGTTTTCTGCCGAATTAATTTTTTAACACTTCATTTTACCTATTATGAATGTTAATAAAACTTCTGCCAAACTTTAGCCAACCATCCCGACAGAGAAGACGTTAGGCTGTATTCCTCAAACAAGCTAAAACCGCAACCTTTCCCCAGTAAATTATGATAAAGGTTCCAGGATGTGCGATAGACTTACCTCCACGCGTTGCACCCTGGGCAACGTATACTCATACGGCAAAAAAGTCTACTAACTGGCAGTTGACTTCTTACTTCAAACTACCCTCACCCCATTGTATGTCATATTCGACCACTTTCACAGTACTCACCTCACCTTTTTCTCTACCTTTGTGTCTGTCTGCCTCTTTTACATCTGTAAATAGCTCTTCTGTTCCCCACCCCTCGGCTCTCTGCTACTTTGATGAACCCTCCCTCTGTGAAGCCCGAAGTCAGCTAAATGGCTAATGATATCTATCAAAACGCCTGCCATTTGAAAT